ATGTACATATAATAAACTCAATTTCTATTTGTTTCTCTGTGGGAATTTTTAAAGGAAAGAAAGATGGAAAAAATATAGACTCCTATACTGAACAAGCACAATGAGAATAATTTATTGGTTAAAAACCAAGACTCATGTTTTATATATATAAATATATATAAATTTATATATATATATGAGACTATTTGATGATTTTTGCATCTTTAGAACTGTATTTGTTCAGTTCTTCAACATACATTCCTGTCCATATCCTAAATGGAAAGGCTGAGGAAAGAGTTAAAGAGAAGAGAAGATTAAAAAGTTAAGAGAAGAAAGAACTCAAGAAGTTAAAAAAAAATTGATAAGTTCTAATGGGGAAAAATTCTTTGTATATTTGGGTAATATTTTCGGTAATTTATTGGTGTTTCTCTGAGGGTTTCTTGTTGGTGGTATTATGGTAATGTTTTTATTGTGAATGAAGTCAGAAGTGCCCAGACTATCAAATGAATACTTTTCTAAATCTTAATAATGAGAGGTCAATAAGTGATTGTAAAATTACTTGTGACAAATCTCAGCAATTATAGGGGAATATAGTTTTCAATTTACTTGTGTACTTCACATTTAAGTCAATGAAACTGATCATGTTTTAAGGCTGTGTAAAGAATTGATTTTTCCATCTAGCTTCTGAATTAAACAATAGAAATAATTTTTATTTTGAGAAGCAAGTGATATTTTTATTTTTCTTTTTTTGGTGTGTTAGGATCCAGACTAATTAAAAAAAAAAATTCTGTCAATTAGTTTTAGATCAAAGCACTGTGTGGACTTCCACAAACAATTTGACTGGAATACAGGTAAGAAAAATCAAAGAGAAGGCAGGCCAGATCCAGATAAAGCTGCCGGAGGAAGTAATGTCTGTCTCTATTAGAGTGTTAGAATGGCCACCTATGTTGTAGAGCCTGGGTTTAGTTTTCATTTTGCCTCAGAGGAATTAAATCTTCCTCCTCTAATCTTAACTGCCAAGCTGTAAATGATGTTATTAAGAGAGAAACAATTCAAGCAAAAGTGACAGAAGTCTCTTCTCTCTTCACTGCAACCTCAGAATATCTATAGCCTTGGGAGAAAGCATTAATTTAAAATGTCTCTCAGAATTTCTTAGTCTGAGTTAAGGGACATCAGTCAGAATTACAATAGGTTATATTTTTATCATAAAGAAGCATTAATATCTACTTAATATAAAAATTTCCCTTCCCTCCATCCCACCTACACAGACACACAGAAAATGAAGAGATATAGTTTTTGCATAACCTGAAGGTTTAGAAGTTTTTAGATGGAATTAGAGCCTGACTTAAATTAAAGTGAGTAATAGGCACCAAGAGGTCATTCTAACCTATAAAGTATGTTATGTAAACTTGTTTTTGAAAGAAAGAACAGAAAGAAGAACATGAATGTTGTAAATTATATTTGTTTAAACCAAAGGAACTCTTGATTATGCAATTTCAAGGTTCCTAGGGAAGTCATAAAAAGTGTCTTAGTGGCAACCTAAAATTTGTCAAGATAAGAGGAAGTGTGCATATATAGGACCATCAGAGTTTGATTTTTTAGATCTTCTAAACAGGATTTGAAAGGATATCTTTGGCAATCAAGTTCAGTGTCCTGCTATTGCAGGCTGTCATGTTATATTAATTTTTAAGATTTAGACATCTATTTTATTTTTTTCCCCTGAAATTTCATTGGTATTTTCTTCCTGCAATTCCTCACTTGAAACTGATGTATTTCAGAACTTCTATCTCATGGCTTGTCCTTTAGACAGGTATCATGATCTCTTTATACTCAAATGGAGTCAAATATCAACCACCTCCAAGGACTCAGTTCACAACCTGTTCACTCTCTCTCGTTATTGCCTTATTTATCTGTATGTTATTTTGACACAGCTCACTGCTCTTGACAGATTAAACTCTGACTCATCTTTTTCAAACAAATTTTATTTGTTTATTTTTTCAGACTGTAAGTTGCTCCCTGTAGTTAATGGCCTATTAACTACCTATTGACTCAAGAAAGAATAAAAACTTATCATTGAGTGTAATCAGGATGTACCTTTGAGAGTAAAATGTTTTCATTCACTGCACTAGCTATTTAGATCAACCTCTCCATTAATAAGGGTACTAATACAAGTATCTTCATTAATGTATGGTATTTATGCTGGTTCTTGACTAAGGCCATTCACAATGGGAGTTAGGCACCAAAATAATAATAGACTTGGGGTGATTCATGTACAAGACTATTTTTTAAGCAAACTATAAGAAATTAACCCCCAAACCAAACAGTTTTTCCCTCCCAAGTTGTTAAACCTTTGTTGCTTTGCAGAGGCCAGGCAGATTCTCTTCCAGCTCTTTCTTCCCGCTCTGATTCCTATACTAACCAAGCAAGTACTTTTGATCTCTTTCAGTGACAGGTTCCCCATTCCCTGCACGTATTCTAAAATAGATAGTATCCTTTATATTATTTTATTAGAGCAATGCCTTTTTGCCATGACTTTTAGAAATGATTTTCTATGTTGCTCTTCAGATGAAATTCAGGTTCTCTGCTTTAGGTGTCTGTGATGATGCAGTCCTTACTCCCCTCCTTCCCCCCACCCTTGATGTGCTGCTCTTCTCTCTTCCATCCGCAACAGCATCTAAAATAAATTAAGGTATCTAAATCTCAGAAGGCACACTCTTCACTGGCTTTTAACTCTGGAGGTGTCTGTATTCAATTAGCACCTCTCTTTGGGTCTAAAGCTTTGTACATGCATAGATGCCTGCATAATTACTTTGTCTTCAGTAGCAGGTTGCCTTCTCTGTGTCTTAGTTCCATTATGTTTTAGAGATCTAACGATTATCTCCCAAAGGATCCAATCTAATAACTGTACTTTGGGCAGTATCATGAGCTGGCAGCAAGGAGTTCAACATATGTCAAACCACAGTCACTTCATACAGAAGGCATGACCAAGGAAAGAGACACAATTATTGTGGTGTGTGCATTTTGCAAATTGTTATGGGTTGTAACATTCTAATGGAAAGCAATATACATGGGTTTTGATCATCGCTCCCTAGATGATTTATGCAAATTAGATCTTGGATTAAACAAAAAATAATAACAACATGAATTATCCACCTAGTATGGACTAGATGCAAAACTAAGTTTTCTTTTCAGTTCTTTGGGCACCACTGTCAGCCCCAAGCCAAGCGATAGCCTTGTGGCTAAATGTAGGACACTATTTGGGATGTGGAAGTTGTGGACATAACATTTCTTGAATTTGAAGGGAAATAAATTATTCTCTGGAATATTCTTACAAAATGGGCTACATGCATAAAATAGGTAGCACTAGATGCATTTTAAAAATGGTGAGCCCTGCTTACTTAAGGAAAATACTTAGCACCTGAATCCAAAATAGTTAGAGAAGCCACTTTCAATGCCAAGGCTCAAAAGGATAATAGCTTAACTCAGACGTACCTTCCTGCAACATATCCTATTAACGCACGTCTAGACTGCTGTATACTCAGAATGCGTGAGCCATGAATGGCTAAACCTTACTTTGAAGTTCAGTGAGCTTTGGGATCACCAATAGCATTAACCTGTACTCCCTGGCACACCTGTGCTTGAAAACTTGAAAACAGCTCAGAGTCAGGAAGCGCTCTATCTCTAAAGCCAATTGGTGTAGACTGGCCACAGCCACACAATATTCTGGGTCTTGGGTCTGTGCCTGCGATGGTATCCTTGTATCCTCATATATAAGCATCTCTTTTTATTTGTGTTTTTTTCCGGTTAAAATGTTTGCACTGCTGAAAGGATGTTGCAGCCCACCACCATCTAGTTTTCTGAGCACAAAACTGAGTGCATCTGTTACATGATCTGGGGTGTCATGGACAAGGCATGTGGGTGTATTTGAGGTACAAAACCTGCAGGAATAGTGCTGGAGATAGTTGGATGGAGTGTTAGATGGTAAGTTAGTAAGGGACAGTAGCATGGGGAAAGCCTCGGGTATGGGAGTGGCTTTTGGCTCATGCAGACCTGAGCATTTTCAAGGAGAGTACTGGATGGTACAGGTAAAAACTGTGCCAGACAGTATGTTAATAATTAAGTAGGAAGAATGGTTGGAAGTTCAGGGCTTGAGCTTACTCCCTAGTCCTATTTTATTTAGCAGTGTAGATATAGCCAATTGAGATAAGGTTTTACTGCTGGGCTCATTTTCTCCTAATCCAAAAATATGTTCAAACATGACGAGATAAGGAGACAGAGGCAGATAACATCAGGGTAGTTCCAATAACAAGGAATGAACAAAGGTAGCAGAAAATATTTGCCTTTCCCACTCACAGCTGAAATAAACTGTTATTTTAGCCTCTGATACACGTACAAGTTTAGAGGAATTTATTAGAAATAGGAACATTGTAGGGAGACCAGGGCAGGAATAGAAAGTAAAGCAGAAAAAGGGATCACAGAGATGTGAAGAAAGAGCTGTGAATATATTATAAAACCAGAACTACAGAGATGGATACAAAGGAGTCTTAAATAGGACTTTCACGAATACAGTAGAGGTTGCAATGACACCTTTATCCTAGTCACACAATCGATCTTTAAGAGGAAAGACTGCTGATACTTTGACATAACATTTTATTCAGGTGTTTCTTTTTAATAGAAGGTGAAAAGACTAAATGAGTCCAGAGATGAAATAGTAAATCAACAAGACATATCTTTGGTCAGCTCTGGTGCCAAATCTGTTTATCTTAAAAATTATGAAAATAAATGCTATCCTTTTTCTTTGAAAATTCTTCTTTAGATAATGCCTCTGCAAAGTACAATAAAATAATATCTAACTATATTCATTCCAAATATAAGCACAGAAAAAAGATAGTTTAATTATTTCTGATTGATTGTAAGTGTTTTTAAATTAGCGCTTTATCTTAAATGATGTTTTTGCAGATAATTGCCAAAATGTATTGTTGTTGTTGTGTTGTTGTTGTTGTTGTTATTTCTATTTGTAGATCTTTGATTGAAAATGACTGTGGACAATTCACTAATGGTGGCAGAAATGACAAGAGAATTTGCAGCTGGCAGGTTTACAAAACAAAGTAAGAGTATATATTGCATAAAGTGATAGCTAAAGAAAGTAAAATTGCTGTATTTCTTTTAAAATTCAGTTGTAATAATGTTTTAAAAATACAGAACATCATTGTTACTTCTTTTAAAAAAAGCTCTTTTCATATCATCTTCCTTAAAACACTACATATTGTTGGTTTTGTGCTATGTCTGTCTAAATGGATGTTAAATAACTTTTTAAAACATTATAGATGATTACCAATTACATTCCTGGGTTATTTATCTCAATAAGACAAGTTTAGTGCTGAGAGTACATCTGAAATGCGTATATGTAAAGATCTATACTGGTAGTTCTTTCTCCATGCACTGTTTTTGCCTTTCAATCCAGTTATGTTTTTTGAGTATTATTGTGAAAGGTGCTTCACAGAATAATGGCCTAAAGTGGAAAACTGCTGATCAAGCCTATTGTCATTGCAAAGCAAATTGTCACCCTGCTGTTTTTAGAATTCCACAGACATGGTTTTATAGGGCAACTTTGAGAAATATGCTTTCTAGATTTTCAAGGAGATGGGCAAATCTGTGAGAAATGTTTGCTGAGATATCAAGAACTCAGGTTGGGAGGGAGGGATGAGATATAACTTTAGCACATTTAATTCCTTTGACTATCCCTGTATTATATCTATTTATGGCAGAGGTGCTAGCATGTTTTTTTAATCCATTGAGAGCAATATAAAACTGCAAAGGTACTGAATCAAGTACATTATTTACTAGCAAAGATAACAGTGGGAAAAGCTTGAATGGCAGCTTTAAGTTCTGCATTAACACACAAAGATGCAGATCTGAGAACAAACACATCCTAAAGGCTTTGTACCAGTCTACCTCTCTTTTCAGAACTTAGCATGTCTTTGCTGTGAGTTGGAGAAGCAATGCTGTACTGCTTCTTCTGATGGCAGACAACTAGCACAAAAACCAATAAACCTGGCTTATATGCAGTGTATTATACTGTATTAAAAGCTTTTTACATTATCTTGCTAAAAAAGATCTCTGATCTGCACAATCAAGGTGATGCAAGACTGAAGATCAACCTTATCCAACTAGTCAAGTAATTTAGGAAGAGCCTGGTTTGAGTGCAGATTCTGTTTGCTGTTTCATGAGTGGCTGCGTTGGAGACCCTATATCGTGAGGAAACATAAATGCAGTTCCTCACCTATGTGCAGTTCTCTGCCTCTATCAACGGAGACAAATATTGGCCCTACATGACAATGAAAGCATCTTTTTCTTTCTTAAACAAAAGTAAATGCATTTTGGAACTAAACAAATTGCTGCCAAAGCTCTTTTTTGCTGTGTAGATGTAGTATTTTCAGATAGCAAAAGAGACTAGTGTGTACTTATCAGATAGCCTTAATCTGTCATCAGGAACTGTCTACAGGCGTCATGGTTGGAGAGTAAAACTTGAAAAATCCTCCTGTGTCCTTGCATCTTAAAAGGGAGTGCTCAGATAAAACGGGTGAAGAAAGAAGGCCAAAATATGCTAACTACAATTAGACAAGGTTTATATGAGACTTTGTGATGAAATTCCCTTCGTATAGCCTCTTCATCAGGGACAGAATGCATTTCACACAACATATGTCTTGACTCAAGATATTTGGGAGATTCTTTCTGAATCCCTTGTCAGAACAAGTGAGAATCATTTTTGGGAGGGGAGAGAAAGAATAGATTAATTCAAAAAAGCAGCAATAAACAGTACTCAATATCAGAGAGAAATTTATCTGAGAAGGGGAGAGCCACATTCAACCTCTTACTCTGGGTGATTTAGACCAGAAATTAGAACATTGGTCTCATTCTGGCTTCAAGAGCAGAAATCCCATTTTGAGAAACTCTGAGGAAGAGGTGGATATTGGATGTGTAATTGTGCAAATAAGCCATGTTATGCTGTAGCTGAATTTGACCCAGAATATGATTTGAATATCTGCCATATTTCCAAGTAACTGGGAATGAATATCTGACTGAAGATATTTTCCTTGATTATATAAATGCCTCATACTTTATTTCTAACTAGCTGTGGTAATCATTCTGGCATTTTTCCTCCTTATGTGGCTATATCCCCACAACTTTCTTATTATAACTAATAAATCAGTGGAAGTTTTCAGACAAAACAAGTTTTTTTTTTGTTATGGCAATTACTCAGGAAAACATTTCAGGGGATGTCTCCCAGTAAACAAAGGAGTGGCCCTCTTGACTTCAGAAATATAAAAGAAACCTTTTTTTTGCTTCCTCGTTAAGATAACTACATTCTACAAATCTTTGACCTTTCTTCTCAGGGATATTATATCATTACTTTTTAGACTCTTTATTTTGAAATATGAATTAGAATTTAATCTTCAAGAAAAAAAAAAGTGGAAGATCTTCCTCATAGGTCAGAGATGAATTACTAAGTAAAAAAAACCAACAGAATTACAGAACAGTTGAGGTTGGAGTTCAACCCACATTTCACAGAATCAAAGAGTCATAGAACAGTTGAGGTTGGAAAGGGCCTTGAAAGATCATCTAGTCCAACCCCCTCTGCTCAAGCACAGTCACCTAGAGCAGGTGGCCCAGCACTGTGTCCAGGCAGCTTTGGAATATCACCAAGGACGGAGATTCCACAGCCTCTCTGGGCAACCTGTGCCAGTGCTCTGACACCCTCACAGGAACGTTTTTCCTCATAGTCAGGAAAGTTTTTCCTCATAGTCAGACTGTGTTTCGGTTTGTGCCTGTTGCCTCTAGCCCTATTGCTGGGCACCACTGAAAAGAGTCTGACCCCATCCTCTTTATGCCCTCCCTTCAGATATTCATCTCAGTCTTCTCTTCTCCAGGCTGAACAGGCCAGCTCTCTCATAGGAGAGATGCTCCAGGCCCTTAATCATCTTAGCAGCCCTTTGCTGGACTCACTGCAGGAGCTCCATGTCTCTCTTGTCCTGGGGAGCCCAGAATTGGGCCCAGCACTCCAGGCGTGGCCTCACCAGCACAGGGCAGAGGGGGAGGATCACCTCCCTTGACCTGCTGGCAATGCTCTTCCTAAAGCAACCCAGGATACCATTGGCCTTCCTGGCCACAGGGGCACATTGCTGGCTCGTGGACAACTTGTTGTCCACCAGCACTCCAAGTCCTTCTCCGCAGAGCTGCTCGCCCACAGGTCAGCCCCCAGCCTGTACTGGTGCCTGGGGCTGTTCCTCCCCAGGTGCAGGACTTGGCATTTCCCTTTGAAGAACTTCACGAGGTTCCTCTCGCACCATCCCTCCAGCCTGTCGAGGTCCTCCGAACGGCAGCACAGCCCTCTGGGGTATCATACACTCCTCCCACTTTTGTAGCATCAGCAAGCTCGCTAAGGGTGCGCTCTGTCCCTCCATCCAGGTCTCCGATGAATATATTCTGTGTGGGATTGTCCCCCATATTGCTACAGGTACAAGGCTAGCTACAGGCCTCCAACGAGACTTTGCGCATACGGCGCACAACCCTCTGAGCTCTGCCATTCAGCCAGTTCTCAGTCCACCTCACTGCCTGCTCATCTAGCCCTCGCTTCATCAGCTTGCCTAGGAAGATGTTATGGGAGACAGTGCCGAAAGCCTTGCTGAAGTCAAGGCAGCCAACATTCACTGCTCTGCCCTCATCTACCCAGACAGTCGTTCCCTCACAGAAGGCTAGCCGGCTGGATAAGCATGATTTCCTCTTTGTGAATCCATGGTGACTTCTCCTGATCACCTTCTCGGGCCTTCAGGTGCTTGGAAGCGGTAGCCAGGATGAGCTGCTCCATCACCTTTCCAGGGATGGAGGTGAGGCTGACTGGCCTGTAGTTCCCTGGGTCCTTCTTCTTGGCCTTCTTGAAGGCTGGAGCGACACTGGCCTTCTTCCAGTCCTCAGGCACCTCTCCCGATCTCCATGACCTTTCAAAGACGTCTGAGAGTGGCCTTGCAGTGACATCCTCCAGCTCCCTCAGCGCTCGTGGGTGCATCCCATCAGGGCCCCTGGACTTGTGTATGTCCAGTTTGGTTAAGTGATCCCTAACTCATTCCTCCTCCACCAAGAGAAAGTCTTCCTTTTTCCAAACTTTCTCCCTGGATCCCAGGATTACTGAGGGCCAGTCTTACCAGTGACAACTGAGGCAAAGAAAGCATTCAGTACCACAGCCTTTTCTATATCCTTTGTCACCAGGGCCTCTGCCCGATCCAGCAGTGGGCTTACATTTCCCCTAGTCTTCCTTTTGTTACTAACATATTTATAGAAGCCCTTCTTGTTGTCCTTGACATCCCTCACCAGATTAAACTCCAGATGAGCCTTAGCCTTCCTAGTCCCATCCTTGCATACTCAGACAACATTCTTGTATTACTCCCAGGTTACCTTTCCCTGCTTCCACTTTCTGTATACTTCCTTCTTCTGTTTCAGTTTTGCCAGGAGCTTGCTTTTCATCCATACAGGTCTTCTGCCACCTTTGCCTGAGTTCTTACTCACTGGGATGAACTGTTCCTGAGCTTGGAGTAGGTGATCCTCAAATATCAACCAGCTTTCTTTGATTCCTTTTCCTTCTAGGACTCTATCCAATGGGATTCTTTCAAGCAGGTCACAGAAGAGGCCAAAGTCTGCTCTTCTGAAGTCCAAGGTTGTGATCCTGCTCTTTCATCTGCTCCCTCCTCTCAGGGATGAACTTCTGAACTCCACCATCTTATGGTCACTGCAGGCAAGCTTACCCCCAGCCTTCACATCTCCAGTTAGCCCTTCCTTATTTGTAAGTGTGAGGTGGAGAGGAGCAGAGCACCTCTCCTCGTTGGCTCTTCTATCACCTGTGTCAGTAAGCTGTCATCATTACTCTCCAGAAACCTTGTGGATTGCCTGGCTGTGTTGTCTCTTCAGCAGATATCAGGGTGGTTAAAGGACCTGCAAATATGAGGCTATTTCCAGCTGTCTGTAGAAAACCTCATCTACTTCTTCCTGATCAAGCCACCTGGAACAAATACCTGCAACTGTGTCACCCATGTTAATCTGCCCCTTAATCCTTACCCATAAGCTCTCAGGCAGCCCATCATCCACCCTTAAGAGAGCTCAATACATTCCAGCTGTGGACTCACATAAAGGATGACTCCCCCTCCTGGCTTTCCTGGCCTATCCTTCCTAAAGAGCCTGTGTCCATCCAAGGCAGCATTCAAGTCATGCAAGCTATCCCACCACATCTCCATAATAGCAATGAGATCTTCACCCTGCAAGTGCACACAGATCTCTAATTCCTCCTGTTTATTCCCCATGCTGCATGCATTTTTCTACAGGCACTTCAGAGAGGCATGCTGATTTCCCAGAAGAGGTTCAGGATGTTGCCCTACAGTTTTTTCTTGTAGGTGCTTCTTTGCCTGCATGCAAATGTTCAACACACCCCGACTTAAACCCTGTTTTGTTGATTGTGTGGTGCCTATAACTCTCCTCTTCCCGTTTATTTTATAAATCTGTGAAAGCTACAGAAACAGTAATTAATGCAAAAAGGGCTAATTATTCTGCTTACCAGGTTGACAATTCCTATTGCTAAGGATTGAATTTCTTTCACTCTAGGTTATACTAACAAGATGTTAGTATATTTCATAATGTTGTGAATGCAAAACTTCATATTAAACATCAGTGTGTTTTATGACCACATCTTTTTATCTCTGAAATCACTAATATGATAATGGAGCCTGGCTATAGTAAAAATGACATTATACCAGATAGGTAATAAAAAGAATAAAAAGACTGAGGGGCAGATACTTGAATAGAAAAATCTATGAAATACATTTTTACCTTGCTTACAAGCAGTGAATTTGAACAAACAATTCCATAACCCTTTTTTCTTTTTCTGTTTGTGAATTATTTCCACAGATCAAAAACCCCAAAGAACAAGCAAAGTATGTGGATGTACTTATGAGCACTGTACCAAAATGTTTTTGAAGTTTACTCGGAGCAGTTGCAGAAGGATCTAGTGACGGGTTCATAAAATGGCAGATGAAATTCAGTACCAATAACTACAAAGTAATGCACATGGAAAGAAAAACAGTCGTAATTATACAAGCACACTGGCATGCTTCAGTGTGACTATTTCCATTTGGAAAGAGATCTTGTGGGCTTTTTGGTTAGTTCTCTGACAGCCTGAACTTGATGCTCAGTAGCAGTTATAAAACAGTTGCACTAATATAAATTATTAGGAAAAGAATGAAGAGCAAAACAGAAAACATAATTATACCATTGTATAAAACTGAAGTGCTGGCAAAGCTTAAATATTTCGTGAATTTCTGGAAATTCAAACACTCAAACCCCCTTAAACCTGGAGAAAGTACGGAGAGGGATGTGTACTATGATGAGAGGTATGGAATTGCTTCAGGATAAATGAAAATTAAAATAAAGACCCTGGGTTTTCAAAATTCTATTTGCTTTTCCTTCAGATATATGGTTTCCAGAATGCGTCTTTGGCATGTTTCCTTATAGAAAGGACAAGTAATTTAGCATATTCGATGCTGCATTTCAGGACTGCATGTATCTGCTTTAAATTAAGTGTTTTAAAATTAGATATCTAAGTTTAAGCTAGTCACTTTAGCCATGCTATCTAATCAATTGGGAAAAATAGCCACTACAGAAGATTTTCATCTTACCTTAAGATAGTAATCTAAAGGTCAGATGAATTGCCCTTCAGATTTCTATTTCTCTTCATTAATTTTAAAGATGGCCAGGAGTGACTAGTTCAGCTACCACAATGTGCCACTGGTGTTTCTGAGGTATATATATGTCCTTGCTTATTTACTGTTGGCATATTGTTATATATGTTATATAAACAGCCCAAAAACTGTTTCACTTTATGCAGAGAGATGACAGTATGACGGCGCGGACAGCAGCCTTCCAAGCTTCCTTACCTTACTGGACTTCAACACTGACCAGAAGAAATCACCTGCAAAGATAAAAAGTTGATCTGTTTTCACATTACTTCTGTGACTGCTAACATGTCATACACTTTTGGCCATTATTTTATGAGATGAACTTCTATCCTAGGAGAAGTAAACCTGATAACAGTTCATACAAAAAAAAGCCTGAAAAACAGTAAGAGTTAGGAATACAAAACTATTTCTAGCCCTCATTTTAATAGCAATGGAGAGATGAGAGCCTGCACATTGCGCACATTGCATTTACTACAGACCTTTTACCATGTCTTCTTATTTCAAAGAAGCTCTACCATTTCAGTAGATATTAATAATCACAATGGAAAACATACTTTCAGTGAAATGTGATGGTTTGAACAGAATGTGAAGATTTGAAGTAGTAATAACGGCTAACAGGTCATGAGTTAAAGTAGTTTCTGCTACAGTTTTCTTACAAATTATGGTATTTTTTTCCTACTTTTGAAAAAAAGCAGTGTTAAAATATGAGTGTTAATTTGGTTGTAAAAATTGTAATTAAAGTTCAAAATCAGTTTTAGAAAGTGTCAGTTATAGCTAGAATATCGGATTATATATGCAGGTAGGATTTTGCAATATGGTTTCATCAGTTTAAGGCTATAGTATTTACTAAGAAATTGGTTTCTGGTACATAATGTGTTCATGATGCTACTGATCATCTGTAATTACATAAAAATTTTTCTTTAGACACCTCATGGCCTTCCTGTTGAGTTTTGAAGTGGCTTAATGAAATTATTGTTGACCTTAGAGTGCTTAATAGTTTGGAACCTTTTGATATTAATCATTTAATCAATTAATCAATTAAACATATTCCTAAAGGATGAAGCAAAAGTGAGAGGTGTTCCTCTGTCAGCCATTTGTCAGTTATAAATATCACCTTATAACATTTTGACAGAGATGCATCTTTTCTCATATTTCCTTATCACATGTTTTTAATTTTGACCTTTTTTAGCTTAGCATTACCATGTATCTTAAACTGAATTTGTGAAACTGATGTGAAGTGAGGTATATAAATATACCTTTAATGGCATATTAATGCGCAATACGGTAAGGTTATGAGCCTGAACCTTTCATTTTCAGTAGGAAAGGTCCCAATCAAAAATATAGGAATTTGATCAGACTGAGTTAAACCACAGGAGGGAGGGTTGTTAAAGGAGGAAAATAAAAGTATCAAGAGTGAGTGTGGGCTAAGATATGGAGGAATATTCAGTAGAATTAATGAACATAATCCTTTTTATTTCTAAGTAGTGAATATAACACTTATTTTGTTCCAAGCCATGATTCTTTTCTTTATCTAGTTAGAATTAGGGAAAATATGCTGTGATTTGTAGTACACAGAAAAGAAGTTATGTTTGTGCCAGAATCAGAAATAGGAAATATGTGGTAATTTCATTCTTGGAGTATCCCTTCTGTTATGGCAACCACTCCATTTGTTTTTTATTAAGCTAGAAAGATTATCTTTCATCTTAACAAATGCCTCTCTCCTTTATTTGCTAATGAGAAAAAATGCTTTCCACAGCAAAGATAGTTGTATATTTTGTCAGTTGAAGCTTGCCCTATTTAACGTAATTCTTTTCTAGACTTTTCTGTGCTCAGGTAATTACAGAATATAATTGGCATTTCTGTGATTTTTTGTGATATTATTAATTTGGTGGTAGCATATACAAGGGACGTCAGCTCTAGAGTTATCTAGAGGAAGCAAAAATGCTTTTTTGTCTCCTGGTTGCTGCTGGGAGTGAGTAAACTCTCATGAATGTAGAACTAAATTTTTGGGCAGACAGTAGAGTAGGAGAGGATCCTTCTGAGGGAAAGTTTATTGTAAAGTTGAAATGAATCAAAATACTTAAAAATAACATACATTTCAGATTTTTCCTATTGAAAATGTTTTTCCTTTCCAAAGTGAGACCTGTCCATCCTCCTCTAACTAATATTTTTTGAAACTGACTGCTACTTTTCTCAAGTGGATACCCAAACATGAGACAGCTGCACAGTCAAAAAAAGTCTGTCTCAAATTCTCTTGCTGCAAGTGTATCATTTTCCATATATAAATATTAACTGAAGAAAAGAGTTGGATCTGGGTCTCTCATGTCACAAAGGAGTGAGTTCTGGTTACAGAATAATCTCTTGGTTTCCCCCTCTCTACTACAAAAGAGGAGTAACTGCATAGAAAGATTGGTGTTTAAAATAATCACATGGCATGTAGAAAGGGCAGGCTAGACTTTGCACTGAGTGAAGAAAATCAGGGATTTTGAAACATGCCCTTTGTATATTAGGTGACTTGCCTACCTACTGGGACTTGCCTATTCTGGAGTGACATATATACCTTTCCATGCAAACACTGAAATGTGCCTCCTAGGAATATGTTGAATGGGGATTTTTCTGTTGGTTTTTTTTTACAGTTTTAACATGGAGTCAAGACTTTTCCCATTCCCATCTTCAGCATGCACTTATGTGCAAACACACGTGCGCTTTTAGCGCGTCATAGCACTAAAAGAAAAAGGACCTGCTTTTTGGATTTTGTGGTTGTGTTTTGGAGATGAGTTTGCATAAGTGCTTTATGCCCATGCACAGGAAAGACCACAGCTAATACTTTAGTATGTACAAAACATAACAAATTTAACAAAAATACTCATTAATATTTGGCAAATTTTATCAGCAAAAGCAGTCTTAACATCTGACTGCCATTTAAGCTGGCCAAGTATCTGTGCCTTTCAAAGTACAGCCTATGCCGAAATACAGCTGTAGTCTATTTTCTGCTGGTCAGGGGCTCCCAGGGTTGGGGCCGGGGGGTGCTGTGTGCGGGCAAGGGCAGGGGCAAGGCC